TTATAATTCGTAGGCTTTGGGACTCAAATATGAACTGCAAGGTGCTAGTTGACTTATCAGTGAAAGAAGAGTAAACAGAATCGTCGAAGAACCCTCGAGTAAAGATTGAGTGTTAGAAGAGTATTCCAATGAACGAGACTGTGGGGCGACTAATTAGAGAGAGAGGATGAGTACTGAGAGAAATGAGCTGGAAGAAGAGAGAGATGACGATCGGACCCTCACAGAATGAACACAACGCTTCACACCAGCGTTTAGAGATATAAGGCCCGCTAGCTTACTTCTTCCCAGGTAGGTGAGGCACTCTCTACGGGTGGCATTTCTTTGACTTATGATGGCGACAATCCCTCCTCATTCAGCGTGGACCTTGCAAGTGGGACAAACCCTGAAGTTACGGCTTGGTCCACTTCTACAACGAACAGAACCTAACATTCGGGTAATCGCGGAAGGCGTCTTCAATTTCTCCTCGGCCAAGCAGCCTAAAGTTAACCTAACCCTTCTTCGTAGTTCGGTTGATTAGTGAATGAAAACACATTCCTAGTAAGAATCTTCAGGTATCGAGTTTGACTTGGCACGAATTTTGCACGGAGAGCAGTACATTGAAGTGTACGGGCCATTGCCGTCGGAAGCAAAACTGCGCTCAGAAGCGCGCGTTGTCGACATCCTTGACAAGGGCTCTGGTGCATTAATCCTATCCGAAGGTGAGTCTCATTCAGGAGATCTGGACATTGATTAGCCCAACTGCCTTCTTTGCTAGTCGCAGGTGAAATTTTGGTGTTGTTCGGCTTGGGGGGGGGCATGTTTCTAATTCGCTAGCATATCTTTCTATTTTCAATCAACTTATACGTGTCACCTTGGTGAAACTTGTAGACTTTTGTCAAGTGTAAGCGAAGCTTGTGCTATTGCGTAGCTTTGCAAGAGTTTACAGGTCTCCACAGGAGGCATCGACAATGATCGGTGGAGTCAGCAAAATGCCCCCTTCAAATCAAACGAGGCCAAAATTTTGCTTTTGTTCGTTTTTTAACAAAAACCCTCAAGGTCCGCAAGCCCGTTTAAGGGTCATTCCGGTCATTTCATGTTTCAAAACCCTTACCCGCGGTTTCGTGCAATACTGTGGCGTCATAACCTTTACACTTTCCAGTCACCACTTATGACAACGCCACCGGCAAAAAGCTGGCAATGCAGCAAGTCTGTACCTTCCAAGTGGGCTCGGGCAAATTCGGTGGTCCCAGAACTAGCTCACATGAAAAACCAGCGGCCGAAATACCAACCCGACAACCAGATGCTGTATTCGAAGAGAAGACCTCTGTTGACCAGGTAAGCTGATGGCCGAAGTTTTTTTTGTCCCCCCTTTTTATGTACGTTCCAGAGTTTTTCGTTCCTTCAGTAGGTGATATGAGTCGAGTAGATTTTAGTTCTGCACTAAATGATGGTAAATGGACCACTAATCATCTGTTGGAGGAGCAGTTTTAGCTGAATCGCGAACCCTGGGTATGACCTCAGGGGCGGCCACGCCATACTGGCAGGAAACTGGACTCACCTGTGCGGGGCCCCGCCATCGACTTGCGCCTGTCCTTAACACAGTTCCTTTAACCTCGCGAATTCAAAGAAAACGCCGCCAAATGTGGGAAAAGAACTGAGGAGGGTAAGGGGTAAAGGACAAGTTCTTGGCACTACAAGCGGTAGATAATTTCGTTTCTGCACTGGGCATCACAACCACTGCCATTGTGCACGCCTATCGTGAATTCGGTGAACACCCTTTTCAATAACTCCGATAATGACCCCCACCCTTTAGGTATTGCTCAACCACGGTGTGCTTTGACACTGAACTTGGAGCTAGCGGTCATGATTCTTCGCAGAATGGCACAAGGTTGTTAGGGCTCAAGTCGAAGATGTCCCATACAGCAGCTGTGTCCAAATTCGCCAGCTAGATTTGACAATTCTCGCTTCTTGGAATCACGGGGTAACGAGTGAAAAATTGGCCTTAATGGAAAATTTACCGCCTAGTTACTTCAGCGCTGTAGCCAAAGGGGTTACGTAAAGAAGACTCGAGCTCAGCTCGATCCTCACCCCCCATTCGCTAGCGGCGTTCGGCAGAATCACTGTACAGCTACATTTCGATGGTGGATTCTGGTAAGTTTGACCGCGCTGAAGACTTCCAGCGATCGAAGTGGAGAGGGAAATCTGTTGGGGGAATTGGGGAAAGCGATGTGAGAATGCCACCGTTCGCAGTCATCCCGATCATGTAACACTTCCTTTATCGCCTTGAGACCGGAGTAGGTGTGGCTTTCAAGCATGGCTTTCAAGATTTTGTGTTTGTATAACGCTTTGCAGATAATGGCAGTGAGCAGACTAAGGACTGAGAAACCAGACCGCTTACGCGTCCCGTATTTCCGCGCATCGCCGCAATACGGATCTCCTGACCCACATCCGTGCAATGAGAAATCTCGAAACAGCCGATCTTTTAGGCAACCTTGTACCGAATGGGCTCTGGCGATCTCAATCTCACCTGTCAATGATTGATCGCTACTTTTGCCACCGTAGAGACCTTTCCGTATCTTCTATCATTTAAATTTTATAAGATTAAACCCTCCATTAGATGTCAGGATTCAAACAGCCAATCCTACACGGCCTTTGCTCTATGGGATTCGCTGCTCGTCATGTTATAAGTGGATGGGCAGAAAATGACGCCACGAGATTCAAAGCACTCAAGGTGAGCATCACATATGGACAACACATGCGACTTATAACACTGCGACTTTATAATGGAAGAACGTTTTTAAGGTACGATTTTCATCACCGGTCATACCTGGACAGACGCTGCGGACGGAAACATGGAAGGACGGCAATCGAATCATTTTCCAAACGAAGGTACGTGCTGTTTTTGTCGTACCATTAGAAGGGTTCGCGCCCACTATTGATAGAAGCGCGCGGCCACATAGCGTGCACCGGATTTCGACGCGCGCGGTTGCGCAGCGGCACACACAAACAGTACGAGGGGCGACTTCACTGTGTAGAAGCTAACCAGCTAACCACCAAAAACGGGAAGGACACACAGGAACACATGCAAATCATTCAACTACGGTCAAAACAATATTTCCACATGCAACAAAAGTCCGCTTTGCGACCGCGCGCAGGAGCAGGTACAACAAACTGCTGTCAGATGATGAAAAGCTATCAATTTCAGGTTAAAGAAACTGGTAAAGTGGTGATATCGAATGCATGGATGACGCTGACGGAAACCTCAAGTACGCCTGTTGTTGCCGATCGCCTGCAGGCAAAACTTTGAAGCTTTGGTGATTCCATAATAAAACTTTATCACTGCAAAGAATGCATTTTATGTGAATCAAAATGGGACATAGACCACAGGGAGCTGACAGTTACTAAGGAAAACTACTGTATGCGAGGGAATATCTACACAAATATGGACAAAATGGGGAGTGAACTGGGCTCGGACACAGAACGAACATGCTTTATCTTTATGCAAGACGTTCACCAGAGCACGACGGAAATTCTATGAACTATCAGCGATTTGAAGCACATACAGCAATCTGAAAAGGTTCAGAATCGGTGAGGTACGGCGGTGTAAAATCGACAAGACAACATGCAGTTGGCTGCTTCAACACGGATATCATGCAGTGCCTGTGGGCGGGGCGATCTGGGGCGGGTCCAGGGCTATAAGCCAATGAGAGATTTTACTGCAAGCTCAAAATGCTGAATAAAAGTGGAAAAATTTATGGTGTTCGATGTTTTGTCAATTAGAGCTCCAGTTACACCATACATACATACATACATACATACATACATACATCATACAAGCTCCGCCCACTACGGTCAAACTCCGCCCGTTTCTTTAGCATTTGTGATTTCTTGAGAAATTTTCTTCTTGCACACCCCGCTCCAATCACTACGATTAAGCCCAGCCCCACTGTGGGAAAACTTCGCCCACCCGCTGTGAATCTTTCTATGAGGTGGATTGGACTCATAAGTAGCATACAAACAGCGTTTTTCCACAGTGATTTTTGAAAATGGATGGATTTATCTCAGCTGCCATCCTTCAACACAACAACCTGTACTGAGCGTTTAACGAAAAGACCCTTTTTCGGGGCTTCAAGCTGTTTCGTCTCGTTTTGCTTTAATGTCGTATTATTCAGTGCCCCTCCCCTGCTCCCGTCTTCTGCAGAGAAGCAACTTATCGTGCCTACTGATTTTGACTGCGAGTCTCCGCATGGGCACGAAGGATAGCCGATAAGAATGGCTAAATGGGCGGCGAAGCCCATGCAATTTCATTTAGCTTCGCCTGGATTCTATGGTGTGCATCTTCATAATTGGTCTCACGTAAGCTACTGGACGCGAAATTCTTCATCGGGATCGGACGACCGTGCGTTGAACACGCCATGCCTCAATTGTCGTCCTCACCCTCCCTCTCTCCCGCCCTCCCAAAAGTGCGCGCTCATACTTATCAGCGAACTGTATATGCCACCCACTGACTAGGATATTCGCCCCAAATCACCCCATTCACAGCCCGGTGTGATTCTCACCTTCAACATGGCTTTGGGAAAACTGGAAAACCTGGGGAAAAAAAACTGGGAACACAAGCTTACCTTTATTTTTTCTCGAGTTCGGCAGTGATTTCCTCAATGGTTTTACCTTTCGTTTCAGGCACATATTTATATACGAAGAATATGAAGTAGGTCAAGAATGCAGTGAAAATAAGGAATACGTACTGCTGTATCACATTCTGTAATTCGATAAAGTAATAGTACAGGGTGTGTTGAATGAAGAGGGTCCAATAAATTGGCCAAATATTTCGGGTATATTTTTCAGGTGGAAGAGTAAGTTAGGCCTCTAGGCACGCGGTGTGTAGTGTTTTGCGATGCAAGGGGCGCTTGAAGCGATCCGGATAAGCGACCTGGACAAATAAATCGTTACTTGCCGCGTCGTCGCGCGCGGCGCACCGTTGGCGATGAGCGCGGGAAATTCTCAATGTAAGCGTCAACGCGGAAGTCGGCGCGCGAAATCCAAACTGTGCATCAGTTTCTCGATTGGAGCAGCGAAACTCGCGGGAATCGTTCCATTTTTTCCGTATTTTCGCTCAACTTTCCGTGTTTTTACCATTTCCTATACCGTCTATTGCTGTCATGGCCCACGATATGGAGCATTAGAACACTTCAGTATACTTAGTAGAAATCGTGCGGTCGCGCCGCGATTTCACCACTGGCGCGCTTCAGTAATAACACCCTTTCCCCTCCCTTTAACATTCATATTCGAATAGCTTAGTAGGAGAACTCGTCTCTCGCGGCGCCGCGTCGCTCGCCACGCCTGTCAGCGCGGCAAATTACGATTCTCTTGTCACAAACCCCTTTCAACCATCTATTGACACTCCTACAAGCTCCCACATCGCCTCCGAATACCCCCCCCCCGCCAGTTCATGAATGCTCTCATCACGGGGAACAGGCACTTCACAGCGACCACTACCCGCTGACCTTACGAACGAGGCGTGCTCACACTTTGAACCAA